GCAGCGATCCTCAGCTCTGTCGCTCTCTCTAGCGATGGCTCGTCGGTCGCGGCAGGCTCTGGCTCTCCATCAGCGGTGGGCTCGGGCATGTGCTCCGCGCATCGGGGAGATGGTGGGCTGGGCTCTGGGTCAGGAGTGGCACTGGCGATATATTCCTGGGACCCGGCGGGGAATGGAGATCCATTTCTCGCCAGTATCCACTCCACAAAGGCGGCGAATTCCGCTCGAGGGCCATCTTCGGACGACGGCGCTCTGCACGCGGTGTTGAGGCTGGCGTCATAGAACGCGCAGAGCGCGTCGTCCGGCTAGGTGGTGAGATGGGCAATAGCCAGAAACCCTCGGTATGACCCTCGAGCGAATTTTCCCCCTGCTCCAGCAGGAGGAGGATGAATTCGGGGCGAAGGAGGGGATCCATATGGGCACACAACGGAAACAAAAACACTGAGAGAAAAAACTTGGAAACAAAACGGAGGGGAGACACGGAGGTAACTGTATTTTGGTCCGAGATTCTGTCACACTTCCCTTAAGGCATGGAGCGAGGAACAAGGAGACCAGGGATACACGAAACAATAGTATTTTAATCCAAACATCCAAGGAAATACACAGGGCAGACAGGAGCACAGGAACCACCAGGGTTGACGTATAATCTCGGACAAGGACAGACAGCACAGACTCGAACTTAAATGCAAGGGATAATTAACAAACACTGGTGTACTGAATGACTAATTAACTGGGAAGCGGAACACATGGGGAAGAAACTGGGTCACAGAGCACAACAAACAGTCCAGGGGCGTGACAACAGTAGGGCACTTTTTTTTTTTTCTAGCATAAAGTCCTGAAATAATGTTTACACACTCTGTAAGTATTCTGTATATTTGAATGGATGAATGAATGAATACTTTTCAATGCTAACAAATGGAATATTGTAAAGTATTAATTCATTCATTCATTCATATATGCAGAAAATACTTATAAATCATTTAACGAATGTATTGCTTATTGTTAGTTAATGCATTAACTGATGTTAACCGAGTTGTAAAGTGTCACCAGACAAACAAACAAACAAACATGCAGGGTGAATTTGCATGTACACACCAATTCTTAAGAGTCATCTCATTGTATCTCAATGTAATCCCAATGTAAACAATTAACCCAATCTACCCAAATCCAACTTATATATCAATATGAATCATTTTCTTTTCTTAAAAAAAAACAACTGAATTAATTGATGCTGTAGTGATTAATTTCTGCATTAAATTACAATTGCAAAATGAACAATTCATTATTGAAAACACCATTTTAAAAGTGAGATTAATGTTCCAAAGCACATCTCAATTGTGAACTGGCAAAGTTTCTCTAAAATGAAATTAAATATATCAACATCAAACTAGGATACGATCAGAAGTGCACAGCTGAAATCAAGGTGTTACCTGGCTTAGTTTTGAACACTGCTGGCTGCGACCATTCTGATGGCTGAACGTCATAAACACCATCAGGTACATGCAGTAATCTGATCTGGGCCTGGTATTCAGTTGAAGGATCTAGAATCGTAGAGGGAATCTCAAAATCGTTGGACCCCTTAGAAAGGGTAAAGCTCTCTGTGGCCTACAAAGAGAAAGTGAAATCATGCATGTGATCAGTCACAGCCAGGGGCACCTTAAGATAACCAAAGGCCCCTGGGCTACAGCATTACAGTAGGCCCCCCGACCCCAGAAAACCTCTTTTTTTTTAAGCTTCCTAACAATTATGTCAAATTTCGTTTTTTGTCTTGTTAATATGCCAGTTAACATTCACAACACTGCTCTGCGTAAAATGTGAATATAAGCGAATATGCTAATTTACTCTTTGCCACAAGGTGGCGCTTGTGGAACAGCAGAATTATATAGCCCTTACATAAAGTAAACACTACGTTATTACGGGCATTCTACGGAGGTAATATGAAAGGAAAATGTCATCAAAACTTTCCTGGCCGAAATGTGAGTTTACAGGTATGATTTAAATACCATAAATCACACATAATATTAATTATTCATCATCAGTAGAGCAAAACACATGGCATGTTGACATAAATGTGGGTTATTTGGTGATTTCTAACTGCGTTTTTATTTTGAAACATGACGTGCTCACGTTTAATTAGTTAAATCACAGCCGTATAAAGTTTAATGATCACATTTAAGCAATAGGACAATTCCAATTTTTCCATCCCCGGATTTAAAATGGAGACTTTGAGACCCGGATTTAAAATTGACACTATTTATGGGACACAGATGACACAGATTACAACCAAGCAAGTTACTGAACTCTCCATGTATGACGTTATAGAACGTTGTCCGGTTCAGTTCCTTTCACACAGCAGTGTTGTGTTTCTGTTAATCTGCATGTCGACATAAAGATACTCTCATGCTGCGGTTATTTACTAGCGAATGCATTGTACATTCCGCTTATATCGATG